GTCTCTCTCCTGCATAGATATTCTGATATTTCATCTGAGGCTGAAATCTACCCAGTTCTACAAACAATGCAATGCAGCTACCAGTAATTTTTACAGGTAAATTATTCATAGTTCAATAGCATTTTGCTTCCATTTACTCCAGGGCAAGGCAAAGGTGTACTGAAGGATGACAGCAAGTGCTATCAAATACACCCATCTAAATTTTTTTACATCTGTTCACTGACACACTTTTCAGCTTCAGTTTCCATTCTATTAATGCTTCAAGTGCATCAAGAACCATATTTGCATCTCGAATACAATATTTGTAAAACACACAGACTCCATTAAAGTGTTAAAGTAAAAATGTCTATGCACTCAAGTACAAGGTGTTTTTAAAGACTGTGGTGAAAACAAAAACATGCTGTAAATGAAATGGATTGTATTTTTCTAACAAAAGGGAAAGTAATGTTAAGAGTATCGCATATAAATCTATATGCTTTTATCGATACTATTTTGAATGCTGCAGTGGTAACAAGCAAACATTTTTTTTCAACATTAGTTTAATTAAGCCATTACATGGATACTAAATCTTCATTTTTACATTTATGTTGTTAGACCAGCAAATCCTAATTCTGCAACCTAATGATCAGTGAATTCAGTAAGATGGGGCATGTTCCTGAGCTTGTGGGATCAGGCCCTAAATACCTACCTTAAAGATAATGTTTTTCGGCTTTTCAAATGTTTGACTACAATGTGTTAGCATATAGGTTAAACCTGTTCATAGACTGGAATACAGGCTATCCGATGGACGCCCAGTGCCTGTCCTCCTCAAAGGGTCCCAAAACATAAAGTACTTGCATCTATTGCATCAAATGCAGTTTGCACTTCCACAGAAATAAGTATATAGAAACTCCAGTCAGGACACTGCATTCATTTTTTCCATTTACAACACATATCCATGCTTTTACTAAAGAGGCAGATTACCCATAAATTTGGCTGCTGGAAAGGAAAAAAAAAAGAGAGGAAATAAGACACCTAGAAAGGACTTCTTCACGAACATTTTCGATCATTCACCAGTAACGATAAGGATGGAAGCAGGGTTCAGTAGCCTTCATAAAAGAGTAATATTTAAAACGTTGTTATTGTGCCGATATACAGTCTACCCGGTGACTTCTTAAACAATTCTACCGAAGAAAGAATTTGCTCCCAACAAAATTTTGAAGCTAGTATTTAGAAATCTGGAATGCACTTATCAAAGATGCCCAAGGCTTGCTTATACAGAATATTTAGTTAACTTCCAGCACAAGCTGAAGCAAATTGGCTTCCCATACCGCAGCAACACTTTTTCCTCTGCCTAAGAAATGACCTAGATACTGTGGTTAACTCCAGCCTAGGCATTTTGTTTACTCAAAGCAAGACTCCCACTCCCTTACACAGTGCTATAATTGTTTATCCCTTAAGCCACTGATAGACCACGAAGTCACCGAGTGTAGTGCAGGATTCTCCTCAGCTTCACGGATCAAGCTCTTTGGGGGAACAGTCATCTTTGTATTTGAAGTTTTTATTTATTTTTAATGGTTGGCTTTAATCCCAAAGCAGAAGATTGCTTCATGATTCTCCCTTGCTAATAGATTTATCAATGGCTAGAAGGAATCTTTTATCGACTTTCTAACTTATATGAAAGTAGTATAACTTTCGATTCCCCTTCTGATAAGAACCCAGAAATGTTTGCTGCAGTTTAGTTTCAGCAGTAAGAACAATGCACGAGGCAAGGTTTGCAAAAAGCAAGCGTATACATTTTTTATCACTGGCATTTAGAGCAAGGAGGACCTTATCTGTCACACCCAGTCTATTTCAACAGGATACAATTACTATCAGGAGCCTAAACTGTGAACCGCTTGCACTTAACTAGCATTTTTTGGACTGTAATTTATTATAATTTTGTCCTTCTACATTACTGTGAAAACTGGAGTAGGTCCTTCAATCCAGCCACAGAAGAAAGTATACAGCTTTTTCTTAAAAGGAGCAGTGCTGCCACTTCACAATATACTGGGCGACATTATTATCTAAGCACTGTCTGCATGCAATACGACTCATCTGAGACATGGTAAATTAGCCCTTTTAAATGCCAGATTAGATGACATCTTTGCTGAACTGGCTGGATTTTCCTGTTAACGCTCGCCAGCCAACAAGTTGAAGCGCTTTACCCACATTCCCTCTAGAACACTTGCAAGAAACATCGCATCCTGCTACCAGAGCAGAAACAGCTGTGGGCGATGGGGCACGAGCCCTGGGCACTGAATTAAAGGGGGCACCGATCACTAGAGTTGGAGCAGTATTTTATGGAGGAATGGGAGAAATTCAGTGTCTCCATGCTCCACTGGTGACAGGATTTGGCAGCATTGGGCCAAGACAGGAGCCCAAAGGGACACCAATCCTCCAGCTGCTGCTGACACTGAACCACTCCCCCACCCTGGCCCCAGCAACAGCAGAGTCTCCCACTGCACTACCAGGGTTTGTGCCTAGGGTGCAAGTTTTAAGTTGTAATCAGTTACAACTCCTCTTTTCTCAAAGTTTGCAATGAGGCAAACAAATATTCATATTTTTCTGAGCCCTCATCCTCCCCCCTATTCCAGCTGGTTACATCTCTTGCCACCATGCATTAAAGTTAGCTGTCACCTACCCTACTCAGGACAGTGATCCCCTGGAATGGCCTGGCTGGGGTGCAGATGGGAAGAGACAAGAGCCTGAAACTTATGTTCCCAAGCTGATGTAGGAGCTGGATGTGGAAGATAGAACCTGAAACAAAAACAAACCACAGTGAGCTAAACAGCAAATATAAGTTTGGTATTCCTGCACCCTAAACATGGGAGCACAGGTTTTGCAGACTACAGAACACATCTCCTCATTCCCACATCTACAAAGGGGGAAAAGAACTTCAGAGTAAAAGAAAAATGGGGTGGGAAGCAGGAATAAAATAAATTTAATACATTTGTTCTAGAGTGTTAGAGCTAGTCACAGAATCGTAGAAAATGAGGGCTGGAAGGGACCTCAGGAGGTCACATCTAGTCCAACCCCCCGCTCAAAGCAGAACCATCCCCAACTAGATCATTACACCCCAGGCTTTGTCTAGTTGGGTATTAAAAACCTCCAAGGATGGAGATTCCACCACCTCTCTGGGTAACCTGTCCCAGTACTTTGCTACCCTCCTGGTGAGAAAGTTTTTCCTAATATCTAACCTAAACTTTTGTTGCTGTAGCTTGAGATAATTGTTCCTTGTTTGGTCATCTGCCACCACGGAGAACAGTTCAGCTCCATCCTCTTTGGAATCACCCTTCAGGTAGTTGAAGGCTGCTATTAAATCCCCTCTCTCTAGACCAAATAAGACCAGTTCCCTCAGCCTAACCTCAGAAAATCATATGCCTCAGCCCCCTAACCATTTTTGTTGCCCTCTGCTAAACTCTGCTCAGTCCCTTCTGTAGGGCCCACATCCAATGTGTCCACATCCAAAACTGGACATAGTACTCCAAATGATGCCTCACCAGTGCTTAATCAAGGGGAATAATCACTTCTCTCGATCTGCTGGAAGTGCTCCTGATGCAGCCCCGTACGCTGTTAGCCTTCCTCACAACAACGGTACACTTTGGCTTGTATTCAGTTTATTGTTCACTGTAACCCCCAGGTCCTTCTCTGCAGAGCTGCTGCTTAGCCAGTTGTTCCCCAACCTGTACTGTGCATGGGACTGTTCTGCCCCAAGTGCCGGACTTTGCACTTGTCCTTATTGAACTTCATGAGATTTCTTTTGGTTCAATCCTCCAATTTATCTAGGTCCATGAATAGTGTTGTATTTTAAGGATCAAAATTCTTATAAGCCTTGTTAACCATAGCATGGGCCCTTTGTAACCCTTAAGAAGAAGATTTACTAAGCCTTTGAGTAATTCCAGCATATTCAAAATTCAGGCATACTGATAGAATCCTTTCCTGAATTTACCCAGTACTATTTTTACGTACAACTTTAAGGTCATGCAGACATGGGCTTTGAAAAAAAGTAGGGCTGAATCCCTCTTAACCTCCTCCAGTCAACTGCATCTGTCCAAGGGTATAGTATAAATGCCTTTTTCTTTGCAAGTTTAACAATTCCTCTACAGCATCTGTTCACATAGGCAAACAAGTAAACTAAACTTATCTTCAAGTGTTATTTATACTTCAAATTTCACCTTGCACTCAAAACACAAGACTTCATTTAATCATCATTCACATTTTAATAGCTCTGCTATGATCAAAAGTTTATGGAATGAATTCTAGAGCCAACTTAATTGAAAAAATAAAAAGAAAGCATAATTAAAATGTCTAACTGGCAGCTGGGTGGTCAATACAGCTGCTGTACAACAAAAATCTGGTTAATCCTCCTAATTAGAGGAACACTGAAAGCCATTGGGGTAAAATGTTGGCATTGATCCACCTTTCCCCCATGGCTACCTAGTCTGATTTAATATCTGCCTACAGGTTTAAAAGATCAAGATTTTACAAGGCAGCTTGTTTTAGTTCGTGTAGATCAACTGTTCATCATTCTGTACACCCACAACTGTGTGACATGCCTATAATATCTAGGAAATAAGAAGCTTGAATATATGGCTAAGTTTGGGGAAAACATGATGAAGAATTCAGCAGCCAGTAATTGGAGCTAGAGCATCTGATTGCTTTAGAACTGCTTAGCATAACATACTAATCCAAAAAATAGATTATACGCAGTACACCGTAAATTTCTATGCAGATAACATTTGTGATCAACAAAGTAGAATACTACTAACGTTTACAAGTTTGTATAATGGGTGCAGAACTGAAACACTAAAATAAAGGTTGCTTTTTCTGATAGAACTCTTGATCATGTTAGTTTATTTGTATCATCAGGTACTCTCTAGGGACTAGGCAAAAATCATGGAAATTGCTCAGAATTTCACTTTCAGATTCCAAGCTATTTTTCAGGGATATATACCTGGAAGAAATAATTAAATGTTTATTTTCCTTCACATCCTTTCATGATTAGTTCCTATGGAAATTAAGTTCTCAATATAACATATAGTTCTGCTATTCATATGGTCACAAGCAAAAAAAGTCAAAGACTTGAAATATTATACAGAATTATTTTCTGTTGATATTTGTCCCAAGATTAAGCCACAGGCAACTTCACTTGTCACTTTATACAGCATCTATCAAGTGTTTTTGCCCTACAAATGTCTTCACTGAATATTTATGCAGACAGGATAACAAGCTACAGAAAATAAATATGCATTACCTTTTCCTCTGCAAGCTGTAATATATTCACAGCAACATGTTGAAAATACAATTATAAACAATATGTTTAATTACAATTATTGCATTCATGCTCTGATTCTGCTGTTTGACATGTGGTCCACCTGAAGAACTGATAACATCCAGATATACACATGCTGCTACTTCCTACTGTTACCATAATGGATTATTAATTGCCAAATGCTTACAACACACATTGTTCACTGCATTTATGAATGGGCAACTATATCTAGACTATTGTGATTACTAAGTGCCAGGGTGAATGATTACTATTCAGCAAATAAGGCAATGTTAAAACATCAGGTGGTAATTTTATACATCTCTACATGACTCCACTTTTCTATTATGCCAGACACTGCAATAGAATCTCACTAATTTACACTAATTTGTAAAGGATCTCCCATTTCATCAGTAAGCAAATGAGAAAACAGGACGGGGTGGTGGGGATTTCAGAGCTGTTGCATCATAAAATGTGCTCTGTTCATTTAATTTCAAAAGAGAAATTAGGTTTGAATTAGTTATGGCTAAAGCTCCAAGTTTGTAGCATACTAATAGTATAGGTTCCACTGTATATTGGATAAAAGTACCATCATCATGGGTATAAGACATCTCTCTGATATATGCTTTAAATTTTTTATAAGAATGGGATGACAAAAAAATGTTTATTCAGTGTAGGGACATCAGAATTAGTAAGACTGTACCACATAAAACAATAAGGAGTCTCAAAATGGCTTTAAAAAAGGAACCTAGACTGATTTGAAAGCTTCCCAGTCCATTTGTATGTAATAATTACATTTATAAGCTACTTCATGGATAAGTATTTGAAGCACCAGTAAATATTTAAGCAAGCATTGTAAGTATGTCCAAGATCAGTAATGAACAAATTACAGAACACAATACATCCCTTTTGGTTATAAAATATGATTATAGACCATTTTTGCCATTGCATTTTCTTTAAGTAAATATTTGAAGATAAGACAAAGAGCAGCAAAGCATTACTTAAACCCCAAATGTTCTACACATTCCTGTCTTATTTATAAAAACACAAAAACCCATTAAAACTATTATTATAGTTGAAAATTTAAGCACTGCAACAGTTAGAAAATGTAAAAGTTAAATTGACCTTTGAAACATTAATTTGACCTCCTTATGTTTATGGGTCATGACACTACTTTAAATTACCCAACCATATGCTGTATTTTCCACAGGACACCTCTCACAGAGCACACAATATATAGTGCTGACTTAATGAGTAACGATTCAATATTTTTTTCTTTACAGATTTAGTTTACTGCACCCCTCTCAGACTGTGCTCTAAAGACAGAATTGATTTCCTCATGAGTTTTTCCTCTGGCAGTCCTCACTATAGCATCCTGCAGTTTCACAAATATTAAATTAATTTCACAGCCCCCTCCGCTCCCCTTATGAAATGTAGTGGTATTATTCTCATTTCACAGATGGGGATCTGAGGCACAGAAACTAAGGCCAAAAACAACTACTAAGTTTTGGATGCCCAAAGAAATACCTGGGGCTTGATTTTCCAGAGGATGTAGCAAGGGTTCAAAGCTAAGATACTACCGCCACAGTTGTGAGTGGTCAGCACTTCTGCAACCAAATGAAGAAGGGCAGTAAAAGTGCGCTTTAAAAAAAAGTGAGCTGTGTAGCTCTCTGACATGGCACTCTAGCAAAAGCAGGAACAGGAATCAGTTCTTCAGGGCAGCGTCCTACTGCTTTAACTAGGAGACAATTCCTTCTCTTTCTGCAATGCCTTGATTCATTTACTACAAACAAGACAAGGATCCTACCCTTCCCCTCCCAGTCCACCATGTAGTATCTGACACTATTCCTACATCTTCTCTATCTCCTTCAATTACTTTCAATTCTTCTTGCCATGTAAAATCAGCTCCCTCTGGATCCCCAATTTCTTATCCCATACATACTTTTCTTCCAGGTAAGTCTTTCACTCCACTACCCTTCTAGTCCTGGTCTCCTTGCCCAGCCATTTCCAGTTTCCCAACCTCAGTCACCTTCTTGTAACCCAAATTTCATTGCTCACTCAGTTCCAATTTCCCCTTACCAGCATCTCATTTGGTTTGCTTCTCTCTCCCAGCCTCTGTAGTGCCCACTGACCACTACCTTCCCATTTCCATTGATGCAGTTGGCTTGAAAAAAGTTTGTCCCAGGAGACTCGGGGAACATTAGAACATGGCTCAAGACTAGAGATCACTGCATCAGGATCCATAGCTTTTACTGCTATAAAATGGAAGACAGGTTGATTAGTCTGATGTGAAAACCTTGATTTGAATTTCCTCTTGTTGCTATTGGAGTCTATGTAATTACACCAGTAAAAAGAGGGGAAAAATTAGGTCCACATTCTAGGTCAGTAGCCCTTGATATTTATCATTTTATTTCACTCTTGTAGTTTTCTGGGAGGCAATCAAATTTCCGGATGTAGAATTGAGACCCCCAAGGTTAGGAAACAAGTT